CACCTGCCACATCGCCCTGCTATTTTTTGGTTGCAGCCGTCGTTGTTTGGCGGGCCCGGGCTGGATTCAAACCCGCCACCTTGGGTGTATGTGGCTGGCACCTTAGCCACTTGAGCCACAGGCGCCAGCCCTTAAAACATTTTTATCTCAATTTTAGCTTAAAAATTATGGGGAAGGAGGCCGGGCTCACACCTATAATCCTAGCAGTCTAGGAGGCTAAGACAGGTGGATTGCCTGAGCTCAGAAGTTTGAGACCAGCCTGATTAAAGTGAGACCCCATGTCTACTAAAGATAGAAAAACTAGCCAGGTGTTGTGGCAGCAGTCCCAGCTACTCAGGAGGCTGAGATAAGAGAATTGCTCAAGCCCAACAGTTTGAGGTTACTGTGAGCTGTGATACCATAGCACTCAATCCCACGGTGACTGAGTGAGACTCTCGTCTCTAGATAAATAAATAAATAAAAATTGTGGGGGGAAGATCTTGGGTGACTTATATTCTTATCCATAATGTTTGTGGGTACATATTAAAGGCATTTTTTTGACCTTCACTATACTATATAGTTAGTGCTTGGAAATATAGTAAATAAAAAGTAGTTTTTTGGCTTCTGTTGTTTGGCAGAATTTTGGTTCTGAGCAAAACCAAAATCTTTTTGTGTATTGCACATATACTGACATTGTTCATAAATGATCTTAACAGGTCATATTCCTATAAACATAGGTTATATGCTACTTAAGTAAGTATCAAATAAGATAGTTGAAAATCATTTTACAAAGCATAATGGCATATGTGCCATTTAAATGTGACATTTTTTGTTTTTTTATCTTAGTGCTCTTTACAACTTTAATCCACTCAAAGTTGAGTTTTGTATCCAGGTGGGTGAGAAAATGTTAGGATGTGGGCAAGAGACTCCTTGGTGTAGACTTTCTTTGACATGAATAGGATCAGGAACAATAAAGTTAAACTAACCATCATTGTAATTGATGCCCTTGCAGGAAGGAGCACTGGCAGTTGCTGGGTAATTTAAAGACTACTGTGGAGGGTTTGGTGTCAACCAACAGCCCCAACGTCTGGTCCAAGTATGGTGGCCTGGAGCGGCTTTGCAGGGACATGCAGAGCATCCTCTATCATGGGCTCATCCATGATCAGGTATGCAGAACTCTTCTTTTATGCCAGATTGGCTGAATTGCTTGTTGGAAAGAAACAGTTGCACTAAGTTGGTTGGCAAGGAAATGATGAAGGCCACTACTGTCTGTGAGCTCTTGAAGGTAGTACTTTGACAAAAAGAACGTCCTTTTTTGTATGCAGAATATTTCACTTAGTGCCTTATATACCATAGATGTTAGTGGAATGAGTACATTTCTGGGTAGGACAGCAAATCAGCAATAAGTGGTTAGGTCAGTTTATTAGTTTCCTGTTGTTGGTGTAACAAATGCCTATAAACTTAATAATTACAACAAATTTCTCATTTTACAGTTCTTGAGGTCAGAAGTCTGAAGTGAGTTTCAGTCATTTGAAGGTGTCATTAAAAAAAAGAGAGAGAGCTGGATGCGGTGGCCCGCACCATAGTCCCAGCTACCCAGGAGCTGGAATTTGAGTCCAGGAATTCTGAGCTGTAGTATGGTATGCTGATCGAGTGTCAGCATCAATATGGTGACCTCCTGGGAGTTTGGGGCCACCAGGTTGCCTAAGGAGGGGTGAACAGGCCCAGGTTGGAAACAGAGCAGGTCAAAACTCCCATGCTGACCAGTAGTGGGATCGTGCCTGTGAATAGCCACTGCACTCTAGCCTGGGCAACAGGGAGACCCTGTCTCAAACAAAAAAAAAAGAGAGAGAGAGAGAGGCTGGGTGTACTGGCTCACACCTGTAATCCTAGCACTCTGGGAGGATTGCCTGAGCTCACAGGTTTGAGACCAGCCTGAGCTAGAGTGAGACCCTGCCTCTAAAAGTAGCCAGGCATTGTGGCAGGCACCTATAGTCCCAGCTACTTGGGAGGCGGAGGCAAGACAACCACTTGAGCCCAAGAGTCTGAGGTTGCTGTGAGCTATGCTACAGCACTCTACCAGGGGCAACAAAGTGAGACTCTCTCAAAACAACAACAACAACAAACAAAAGAAACCAAGGTGTCTGCTGGGCTATACGTCCTCTGGAGGCTCTAGGGAAGAATCTGTTTCCTAACCTTTCCAGGTTCTAGAGCAGCATTCCTTAGATTCTTTGGTTCTTGGCCACTTTTTCCATCTTCAGAGCAAGTGGCATAGGATCTTCACATCTCTCTCTGCCTTCTCATCACCTTCTGTCCCTGTATCTCTCCTCCTAAAGGACTCTGTAGTTAATTACTTTGTTCCTGTCTGGATCATCCAGGATAACTCCCTCATCTCTAGATCCTTAATTTAATCACACCTGCAAAATTCTAGATCCTTAATTTAATCACATCTGCAAAATTCCTTTTGCCATAAAAGTTAACTTCCACAGGTTCTTGGAGTTAGGATGTGGACAGCTTGGAGGAGGAATTTTAGCCAACCATAGTCAGGAAGCTTTTTCTTCTGAATCTTAGTTTTGGTTTAATACCATGCTGTTTTTTCAGAACGAGGTAGAATAAAGGAAGAAAAACAGCTAAGGCGGAAATGTGTTCAATTAGTCTCTGGCTTTCATCCAGGAAGTGTTTTTGAGTAAGAAAGAGAAGGTGGAACTCCATGTGCTCAGTTTACTTTCTTTCTTTTGGGAAATCCTTTTGCCTAGAAGCTAATTGTGTTCCAGTGATAATTAATTGCTTAGGCTTGATGAGATTGGTGTAATTACAACAAAATTTTCTTTTCTGATACAAAATCATCAGTTCTTCTACTTCTCCCCCCCAACCCCCACTCCCCGAGACAGAGTCTCAATCAGTTACCCTGGGGTAGAGTGCCATGTTGGCATAGCTCACAGCTATGTCAAACTCTTGGGCTCAGGTGATCCTCTTATCTCAGCTTCTCAAGAAGCTAGGACTATAGGCACCTGCCAGAACACCCATCTAGTTTTTCTATTTTTAGTAGAGACAGGGTCTTGCTCTTGCTCAGGCTAGTTTCAAGCTCCGGCGTTCAGGCGTGCCACCTGCCTCAGCCTCTTAGAGTGCTAGAATTACAGGCCAGAGCCATTGTGCCCGGCCTTCTGATTGTATTTGAGTTAGCATTTATACTTTGTTCTCTAAATTTAGACTTTTGTTATTACTATCTTCAAATTAGTAATAGGAAGAAATAATTATGTACTTTCCTTGCAGGAGTCAGGAGAATTCGTTTTCAAAATACATCTGAAAACTCTAGTAGGTATAGAAGTGACTAGTGAAAACATGAGATAAAGAGAGGAGGGTTAACATGAGTAATAGTTAATAGGTAGTGTGGTTCAGAGTAGAGCCAGACTGCCTGGGTTCATATTTCAGCTCCTTCATACTAGCTTTGTGACCTTGGACAAGATACTTAACCTCTTTGTGCTTCAGTTTCCACACCTGTAAAAGGAGGTAGTGTATATCTATCTCTAGGGTTGCTGCGTGGATTATGTGAGTTAATGTATATAAAGCAGTCTTAACATAGTTAAGAGTTAGTTAAGTATGTGCTATGATGATAAGGAGAAAGATGATAATGAAGCATTAGGATTTTCCTCTTAGCATCCTAGGACGCATGTAAGAAATATTTACAGGTTGGGCATGGTGGTTTACACCTGTAATCCTAGCACTCTGGGAGGCCAAGGGAGGTGGATTGCCTGAGTCAGAGTGAGACCTCGTCTTTAAAAATAGCCAGGTGTTGTGACGGGTGCCTATAGTCTCAGGTACTCGGGAGGCTGAGATAAGAGATTCACTTGAGCCCAAGGGTCTGAGGTTGCTGGCTATGGGCTACGACGCCCCGGCACTCTACCAAGGGCGTCTCTACCAAGACTCTGTCTCAAAAAAAAGAAATATTTACAAAATATTGTCATTTTAAGAATATTCTTTGAGCATTACTTTGTAGACAACTGGTTGATGCATATGAATGGTAGTTTTGATTAGAGCTTAAATTGTTTTTATTATAAACTGTATTGATGTTGAGGAGTTTCTTTTTTTTTTTTTCTTTAAAGAAATTCCCTTGGGGCAGCACCTGTGGCTCAAAAGGGTAGAGCGCCAGTCCCATATGCCAGAGGTGGCGGGTTCAAACCCAGCCCTGGCCAAAAAAAAAAAAAACCTTGGAAAAAAAAATTCCTGTTATAGTTAATTTTAATGGGACAGATTAATTTCTTTAAAAGTTTATATGGTATTTGGAAAACATGGAAATAATTAAAAATCATGTATAAGTATCAAAATAATTTTTGGAATCTTCTTAAAAGATACTTAACTCTTATAATTCCAACTGAAAGGAATCTTAAATCAATATTGTTTTTCTGATATATTAAAAAAAACCTGAAACTCAACTGAATTTTCTTATAAGCAAGCCTATTTAGAGGACCAAAATTCATTCTAAAATACCTAAAATTCTAAATCTCACCAATTAAAACTCCTGTTGAGAGATTCTCTGTTATTCCTAGTCCAACTTTGTTAGATATAATATCTGAAGAAAAGAAATCAAAACCCAGAGAAAGCTCATTATTTGAAATTTTCTGGATTCAAAATATTTCAAAGCATGTTATTAATATATGTTAATATAATAACTATTTACATTGTCAGTCAACTTCATGGCTCTTAATGATGCTGTGTATTTTAAACAAAGATGCTTCTGTTATTCTCTGCAAAATACCATTTTACACAAACTTTACCACAAAATAGTTTTGTCATCATTTTTTCTCTCCATTATATTGTCTATTTTTTTTAAGAAACCATTTAATCTTTTTTTTTTTTTTTTGAGACTGAGTCTCGCTCTGTTGCCCAGGCTAGAGTGCTCTGGCATCATAGCTCACAGCAACCTCAAACTCCTGGGTTCAGGTGAGCCTCACAAGCGGCTGAGATTACAGGCACCTACCACAACACCCATCTAATTTTTCCATTTTTACTAGAGACAGTCTTAACTCTTGCTCAGGCTGGTCTTGAACTCCTGAGCTCAAGCAATCCACATGCCTCAGCCTCCCAGAGTGCTGAGATTATAGACGTGAGCTACCACACCTGGCCTACCACTTTATTTTTTTTTTTAATCCATTTGAAAAACTGTAATTTTGACAACTCATCTTATAAAACCACCATTTTAAATCTAGTCTTTCAGTCTTGTCACTTACCTGGAATTTTGTTTTCCCATCTCCATAAGTGTTTTAAACTTTGGGATGAATTGATAATTTTTCTACTGTTACTAAGTATTACAAAAGGAAACCTGATGTTGGCACACATTTTCCAAATATACTTTTTAATGGCACCTGGTAGCTCCCTCTCATTATTTTTAATCTTTTATATCCTAGAGATTTAAAACCAACCCATAAATAGTAAGAAAGAACAACACAATCTAACACAAAATCAATTGCATTCAGGACACCCTTAATGCAAATACTTCTTTCATAATCCAGTTTTACAGTTCAGTGGACACTGTTTAATATGGTACCTTTTAGATCTTGACATTCTTATTGTACTTAAAATTTCCTGACACTTTTACCCTGTTTATCTACTCCGCATGTATGAAGTATTCCAGTTTTCCTCGTAATATTTTACAAACTGATAATTTTCATCATCAGAAGTGGATCTTTTCATTGCCCACCCTATTCTCCCCAAAGTATACCTATAATATAATGATCACATTAGGAAACTCACCCTAATCTTTAAAAAAAAAAGTGCTTTCTTTTCCCTGTGTAAGTCTCCACTATACAACCTGTGAATGATACCTCTGTTACATATTATGGCACCTACATACGTGCCCCTGTGAGAATTTACCTTGTCTTCTCAGACAAGTCAAAACCCAGAATTCAAAGAAAAGCAGTTACCTTTGTAAGACCATATTATTGGATAAGTGATCTGTCAATATGGCTGAACATTAATATGGCCATAACATAGGGGCTAGTCCCTGTTTTTTTTTCATTAACAATGTAACCTGAGCACAATTTTTTAAAGGCTAGTTTTCCATGTTTTCCATATAGACTAGTTTTCCATATTTTATTCTGACATCTCATCTTTTAAAAACAGAAGGGGCTCCATGCCTGTGGCTCAAGTGGATAAGGAGCCAGCCACA